GCCTCTGCACAGGCCATGGGGGCCCTTGTCTCCAGGTCCTAGAGTCACGGAGACGTGGGGGGTGGCTTAAGGACATGGAGGGCGAGGAGGAGCCGTGAGCAGAGGTGACCGGCGCAGCTGCTCTTCAGGATCAGAACCACAGGCTGGGACGTGGCGCGTGGCACAGCCCTGGCCTCCCTGGTGCAGGGCCCCGGGCTCGTCCTTGGGGCTGGGTGGAAGCACTGGAGGCTGCGCAGCTGCATGTGTGGGAAAAGGTCCCCGCCGAGCGCGCGGCCAGCAGGATCCTCTGTGGCCACCGTAAATGATGGTCCTGTAAACGTGCCCTCCCTGGCCACGTCCCTGAAATTGGGTCACCGAAACCAGGCAGACCCAAGGCACCCACGGGACAAATGAGGTGACGTTGTCATAGGCTGGAGACGCTGAAAAGAAAGTGCCGACTAAGTGTGTTTCCCAGGACTGAGCCTGGAGGGGACCGAGTACCTGACGCAAGTGACCCCGAGGCCACCTTCCGATAGGGTCAGGGGAGCCTGGGCAGCTTTGTGTGACGTGCTGCGGGCATCGGGAGGTCAGGCTCTGAGGGCCTTGCCCAGGCAGGACGAGTGCCCTGGGTCCCCTGGGGGAGCTGAGGACAGAGGGGCTGTGGCTGCAGGTGGGTCAGGGGCCTCTGCTTCCTGGTGTCTGCCACTTGGACCACTCAACTGTCAGTCCCCACAGGGGCTCTCCCTCCTCCTCTGAAGTTGGCGTGGGGCCCGTGGAGACGCTGAAATGGTGGCGCTGACTACGCGCCTTCCCTGACCTTGGGCTGGGCAGTGGCCACGCTGCTTCCCAGGGCCTTCAAGGCCCTGCAGGTGACCAAGGGCGGCAGTGAGACCCCGGCCCTGAAGCAGCTCATGCCATCCTGTGTCCAGCACAGGACGGAGCCGGTGGCCGAGCCACCCAGGTCTGTAGGCGGGGGACAGGCGCGCAGTGCCCAGTGGAGTTCCGGCAGCGCGGCAGGTCCCTGGTGTGCCCGGAACAGCTGCCTGCCATCCATGCCCTGTGCGTGCTGCGGCTGCTGGGAAGACCGCGGGGGCTCCTGGGAGGGGATGCGCCTGGTCTCCTGCTCAGGGCCCCCTGTCCCAGGCCCTGGTGGACGCCCTCTGCAGCCCAGGCCAGGGCCAAACCCGCTGTCGTGTCCTTGCAGGCCGTCACTATGGGGCCGTCAGCTGCGAGGGCTGCAAGGGTTTCTTCAAGAGGAGCGTGAGGAAGAGCCTGACCTACAGCTGCCGCAGCAGCCAGGACTGCGTCATCAACAAGCACCACCGCAACCGCTGCCAGTTCTGCCGCCTCAAGAAGTGCCTGGAGATGGGCATGAAGATGGAATGTGAGCGGGCGCCGGGAGGGCAGGGCGGGCGGGGCACACGGCACACGGGCTTTCACCAGAAACCCCCGCTCGCAGGTCAGCAGCTGACTCAGAGCCAGCTCCACTGGACCTGGTCAGTCCCCGTGGCGCCCCTGAGCCCAGAGGAGTCAGGAGCAAGACGGTGCCGCGGGGCCAGCGCCAGCTGTGGAACAAACTGCCACGTGGCCTCGGGTAGCCCCAGGGTCCCCTCTGAGAGCCAGAAGCCTGCGGCTTGCTGATGCAGCCCCCTGCTGTTCCCATAGCCCTAGGCCAGGCCTCCCGCCCAGCTGTGGCGCATTAGGGCAGCCGGGGCAGGGCGCAAGCCCCCCACTCTGCTCCTGGGGCTAGAAGTGGGGGTTAGGAATTCCAGGAGCAGGCCCTGGTGCCCAGGAACCAGGCAGAGAAACCAGGACGACCGGGGCCTAAAGCAGGCAGCAGAGAGACCCAGGGACGTGGTGTCTGGCTCTGGGACCTCCCTTCCCATCAGGGGAACGGGGACAGCAGGTGCAGGTGACACTCGACCTGGCCCGCGTGGTCCTGGGGGCAGCAGCACTTTTCAGTGTAGCCGTTGCTGTTTCTACAGGGGAAATGGCAGACGTCACTTGGGACAAGTAGGAAAGTGTTTTCCAGAAAGTCGGAATCGCCAGCCGAGGTTCTGTAGAGTGGGGTTTCCATTTTGCCCGTGACGGGGTCCTTCCCCACGGCGGACGGCACCACCCCATTGCCAAGGGACCTTCCTTCCGCAGCAGCAGGTGCCATCCCTCAGGACGATGGCAGAATCATTTTTTACCATCTCGGCTATAACTGAATTCAGGATCCAGCTGAAACCCAAACAAAAATAAAAATATCAAGAAAGCAAAATTAAAGAGGAAGGAAAAGGAAAAGGTCCAGCTGGACTGTCTGGTTAGCAGGACGTCTGCACCCTAGTCTCTGGGCTTCAGGTCTTTTTACCTTGGTTTGCTTGTGGCCCGTGTCCCTGTTCTCTTACTCGAGAGCTGAAGGACAAGTGACACTGGGATGGGAAATGGGCACCCACCAAGCAGCAGGCTCGGGCTGTTCAGCCTGGACCTGGAGGCTGGCATGGTTCCGTCCCCCTGCCCAGGGCTGCTTGAAGATGGGCACTTCTCGTCCTTGGGAAGAGCCAGGTCACTAGCAGCAACACGTGCTGCTCCTAGACCCCCAGCTGCAGGGCCAGGGAGGCGCCCAGGTTACCCATGTTCTGTTGCCTCGGCCCCCGTCCTCTGGAGCTGTGTGCGTGCCTCTGACGTGACAGGGCATCGTGGGGCCTCGCTGCCTCCTCTCCTTGGGCGGGGGAGTCCACTGTGGAGACTGAGCTCCTCGCCCCTGCAGCGGGGGGTTCCTGAGGGAGCCCCGGGGCGTGCCGTGTGGTGACGTGGCGTGCTGTGCTTTAAGCTGTGCAGAGCGAGCGGAAGCCCTTCGACGTGCAGCGGGAGAAACCAAGCAATTGTGCCGCTTCCACAGAGAAAATCTATATCCGGAAAGACCTGCGAAGTCCCCTGATAGCCACCCCCACGTTTGTGGCAGATAAAGATGGAACCAGGTCAGTGCCCTGTTCTCCAAGGGCGGCCCAGGTGGGCAGCTGGGCACGTCGTATTCCATTCCCACGGCCACAGCTTGCTCACCCCCAGAACAGCCCTGGGGATGTCTGGCTCAGGGCTCCGGGTGTCCTGCAGTGTAGGCCTCACTCACTCAGGACGACAGGTGTTGGGAACCTGGGACTTGGACTTTGGCTGTATAAACGGGAGTTGAGGTCCCAGACGGTGCCACAGGTCATTTGTACCTTCTTTTGAATGCACCTTATTGACCTGGTTTTAAGGGTCAGAGAGGAGGAGAATGGGACCCAGGACGTAGCGCAGAGAGGGCAGGAGGGACCCCGGTGACTGCGCACAGCTTGGTGCGCAGTGTGGGCGCCTCCGTGTCCACGTTTCCGCCGAAAGGAGGCTGTCACCTGGGCGCTGGGTCTCGGCGTGCAGGAGGGCAGGGAGTCTGCCGACATGCTGGAAGCTACCCTGGGTTTCTTTGTCTTAAATAGACAGACGGGCCTTCTCGATCCAGGGATGCTCGTCAACATCCAGCAGCCGCTGATACGCGAGGACGGCACGGTGCTCCTGGCCACGGATTCCAAGGTGACGTTCTCACCCCCTGTCCTCTGTGCTGGCAGCGGGCTGTCTCCCTGTGCCCCACTCCTCCTTGGCCCTCAGAGGCCTTGCTGGTGGCTTCTAGAACTCCTTCAGGGCTGCGGTAAGACCACGGTGGCGTTCAGGCTGCAGTCTGTTCTCCACTAAGTCAGACACAGTCCAGCACCAGCTTCCTGAGGGGACAGCCGCTGGGCCTGCCAAGGTTTCTGCAGGACCCGTGAGTTCTGGCAGTCGCTCTGTAGGAGGAGGTCCAGCCGGGAGGATCCAGTGGGGACACAGGTGTCCGCCACTCCAGGAGCTGGACAGCTGGCTCTTCCTGTGCCGATGACCAGAGCGTGGGGCTGGGTCCAGGCAGGGGGCCATCGCGTCCTTCCTGGTGTGAGCCCAGTCATAAGAAAGTAGCAGTAAGGCACACGTTAGAGGGGTGACTTGGGGCCACTTGGGAGTGTTGACATTGTTGCCACCCTTGGCTCCTTCACGTGACACCCAGAAACTTGGGGCACGTCCTCTTTTGGGAAGAGAAGGCAAACTTGAGAGCCCCTGGCTGGCCAGGGTACAGCCTGTCCCCTCTGGTCCTCAGGCTGGGTTTTGAGCCCCCTGACCGGGAGCCGTGGCTGTGTGCTTGATGGGAGCTGATGGGCCACCGCTGTCCCCCAGCATGTGTTCTGGAGAGTGGCTGTCACTGCAGAGCAAAGGCCAGGAACACCAGCCGGAACATGGGGCTCTAGGCCACCAGGGGTTCCCAGCAGTGTCTGCCCACTCCTCAGTGTCCTTCAGGGCCGCCTGCCCGGGGCTGGTGGGCACCTGGAGCAAGTGAGCCTCACGGGGCCCTCAGCACACGGCAAGCTCAGGGGGGTGACAGGGGACTGTTGTCGATACCTGGAAAGGCTCGCGGTGTGGATGTGGTTAAGAGACGGAGCTTCAGGGTCCGCTCGCGCCCTGCCCCGTTTCCTCCTGGTGACATGGAACAGCAGGACACCCCCCCCCAGTTTTTTGTAAGGAGACAGAGCGCCCCAGCAGCTGCTCTCAGAAGGGTCCGTTTTTACATTGAAATCGTGATGCATTTAAGATCGTCCACGGAGCCGCTGAGGGCCCAGAGCGGGGCAGGGGGCTGAGGCCCAAGGACGTATCGAGACCCTGTCTCGAACACAGAAGGGCTGGGACTGCTGGGTCCAAACCCCGGTACCCAAGACCATCTACTTCAGATAACAACGGTCCTCCCAACTGGGACTGATGTGACAACCAGGACACTGAGTACAAAGCATGTGTGTCACTTTGTGTCCCCCAGCTCTTGCTGACACCTCACTTTCCACTAGCACACTCCGCTGTCCCCCGGCTCTGCTGGGACTTATCACCTGCAGTCAGAATGTTGCTGTGGATCCTAGTGTTTCCTTTTGAAGTGGAGACACAGGTGGCTGTGTAGATGTGTCCTGGCTGTGGCTCTGGCTTCCCTTTTAACTGGAGGGTGTTCGCGGGCCGGACGGTCAAGGGGACTCGCCACCAGTACCACCGACTTCAGATGGTCTCCCAGAAGGGACTGCCAACGTCCCTCCCCCATCCAGGGCCTCTACAGGTGCCCCTCCCAGCTGGCTGCTGTCCTTCAGCACAGTGTCATCTGGGGTGCAGCCTGTCCCAGAGATCGAGTCCTCATTGTCGTAGTGGGAGAGGGTCAAAAGCTGGGCGTGGTCGTCCACGTTGTGCCCTGCCGTCCTCCACGGGACGTGAGATCCCTTTAGACTGAACTGCCCTGGTCCCCACAGTCCCACCAGCAGTGTCCGTGGGCGTGACTTTCCCACATCTGTGTCAGCATGTCACAATCTTTTGGGGTCACAGCCCTCTGTATCTTGACACGTGCTCACGGGCCGTCTGTCTGGAGAGATGCCCTGGGTCGCCTGGAACTGTTGGGCTCCAAGAGGTCCCCTCTGTCCTGGGGCTACCCTGTGCCTGTGTGTGCCCTGCAGCCTTCACTCCACGGGGTCTGGGTATGGTGTGGGTTCTCTGGTTTTTCCTGCTCTGTCGACGAAGCACCCCAGTGTGGATGGGTGACGGCCAGCGGGTCTGTTTTTCCTCAGTGTCTCACTGTCGTGTCACCTGGGGACTTGTGTGACCACTATCATAACCAAGATTCAGAAAGCTAATCTGTCACCATAAGGATGCCCTGGTGCCACCATTTGTTCACAAGATCAAATTTTGAGTCCCGAGTCGGCGTCACCTCCACGGCGGCCCGAGTCCTGTGCCTATGCGCTCGTGTTTAATGTCACGTTTTCCCCTCAATAGGCTGAGACGAGCCAGGGAGCTCTGGGCACCCTGGCGAACGTGGTGACCTCCCTGGCCAACCTGAGCGAGTCCCTGAACAATGGCGACACTTCAGAGATCCAGCCGGAGGACCAGTCTGCCAGCGAGATCACGCGGTACGTGGCCACAGGGGAGGACATACAGTCGCGGTGCTGGGAGGGCCGTGGTGGCCTTTGGCATCCATCCTGCCTTCAGTCGAGGGCTGTGGCGTGGTCACGGTGACACTGCAGGTCTGTGCTCTCAGGTTTCCAACTGTGAGACTATTGTCCCCTTTATTCTGTGACATGGATCAAAATTGCGTGACCCGGGAGGCAGGAGGGGACGTGGCAGCGGCCTGATGTTGATCCTGCCGAGTGCCCCAAACAGCAGCAGCTCGTTCCTTCCACCTCTGGGGCTGGGGAGCGGGAGCTGACGGGGGTCGCTGGCCTGGCCCCGGGTGGCACTGACTGGCTGCTCAGCACTGGCCTGTGCCCTGGTGTCGGCCAGCCAGATGACGGGGGCTCAGCCCTGGTGTTCCAGTCTAAGGACAAAGTGAAGGTCAGGGCCAGGAGGGTGCTGTCCAGTCGGGTAGAATCCTCGTCCACTGCTGGCTGTGGGTGGCCGTGGACAAGCCACTGGCATTAGATCTGTAACCAGGAGAACATTCCCGCCTTGGGAGGGTGACCGTGGAACACGGAAGTCACACTGGAAATCACAGCCCACTGCTGGACGCTGGCGCTGTTCTGGACCTCCTTGTCCCTGCTGTCGCTGTGGCCCGCCTCTGCAGGGGGACAGCACCTCTTCGAGGCCTTGCTGTGCTGGACACTGACTCAGCAGAGCCGTGTCCCTGGGAGCCACGGGTTCACGACCTGCTTGGTTTCCGCCCACAGGGCGTTTGACACCTTAGCTAAAGCACTTAACACGGCAGACGGCGCCTCGCCCCCCGGCCTGGCGGACGGCGTGGACACCAGCGGAGGGGGCAGCATCCACGTCATCAGCAGAGACCAGTCGACGCCCATCATCGAGGTCGAGGGCCCCCTCCTTTCAGACACACACGTCACCTTTAAGGTGAGTGTCTGTGGCCCGGCCACAGGTGGCTCTGAAATCATCTGGGAGCTGGTCCCGTCCCCACCCCTGTGGTGTGGCAGAGGGGCTTGAGCAGATCTCGTGTCCAGAGCAGTCCTCCCCGTCTTGCTCGCAGTGCCACTCGATCGTGCAGGGGCGTGGCCTGTCTTTGCCAAGGTGAGCAGTCCCCAAGGGTGGGGGCTGGCTGCTCCGCCCCTGCTCCCTGCAGAGCCTGGCTGTGGGCACCTCCATGCAGTGGAGCCCTTGGGGTCAGAGTCGGCGGGTGGCAGCCACTGCCCTTAAGACACAGAGGTAGATGGTAGCTGTCCCTGTGGCTGTGAGTGCCCAGGTCGCCCCATGCCCCCTGGAGGGCCTCCCAGAACCCCTGAAGTGCCTGTAGAGAGGCCTCAGAACAGGTCTCGGTCCCCTGCTGCCTTCACTAGATGACTAGGATGACTGGGTCCCTGCTGCTGGGTGCCCTGAGGCAGGTCAGCACGTTGGCCCGCCTTTCTGGTGGATGTGTCACCACCTAGCACCAGGGTCACCTGCACCATGCCTGTCGGTCATGGAGCTGGCCCTGGGGCCCCGGTTCCATTGGGCCTGAACCTGTGGCCCAGTGAGTGCAACAGACAGTCGCTGTGCTGGGGCAGTGATGGAGCAGTGCCCTGTCCCAGGGGCGAGCTGAGACGTCCCCTGGGCCTCCGGACTGTGTCCCCAGGACCCTGCTTCACTAAGCGAAAAAACCTGGGGGCCTGGGCCACCCTGCTGCAGACACACGGGCTCTTCTGACTCAGGGGCCCCAGCCGCCACTACTGACGGGACAGGACGGGGACCTGCTGCCAGGCCACTGTCCCTTGCTCACCTCTCCGTCCTCTGTTGCAGCTGACCATGCCCAGCCCGATGCCCGAGTACCTCAACGTGCACTACATCTGCGAGTCCGCCTCCCGCCTGCTCTTCCTCTCCATGCACTGGGCCCGCTCCATCCCCGCCTTCCAGGCCCTCGGGTGAGTGGCCCTTTTCCACGCGCCCTGATCCGTGGACTGGGAGCGTCACCGGCAGCCACCCTGCAGCAGGCCCCAGATGTCCACAAGCCAAAGGCATGGCACCAGGAGCTGTGGTCAGGCCCTTGAGACCATGCGACTGCCTGTGTCCCCACACGGGCATTTGTTCCTGAAGTGGCAGGGACCGGGTTCCCTGGGAGAGATTTTTAAAACATGGGGTTAAAAAGTGACGTCCCTGCTGCCACGGATGTGGACTCTCCTCAGAGGGCTACACAATATGTCACCCCCTTACAGCGGTGTCCCTTGGGTTTCACATACTCATCAGGATCCGAGCTCAGGGGGCGACTGTGATGACAGGAGGTTTGTACTGAGCCCAGGGGACGCTCGGCGCAGGGGCCTTTCTGAGGCAAATGCAGGCACAGCCTCTGTGGGGACGGCAGTGCCCCTGGCCACAGATTTTTTTTTTCCTTTTTGGGGGTGCTGGGCACTGAGCCCAGGGCCTTGTGTGTGAGAGGCAAGCACTCGGCCACCTGAGCTCTGTCCCCCAGCCCACGGCCTCAGAAACCTTGAGGCAGAAGAGGGGGCGACCCAGCCCCACTGGGCTGCAGCCTCAGAGCACCAAGACGGCTGCTGTGAGGGCTGACTGTGCCCCTCCCGTGGGCAGGAGTTTCCAGAACAGGGCTGCAGGTGGCCCAGCTGGTCCCCTGCTACAGGCCCAGCCCTAGCAGGTCCCCTCCCACCTGCAGGTGGGTGCTCGGCTCCTGTCTTGATCCACGGGGTCACTCGTGACCTTGGCTATGGGTGTCGAGTCACAGGTCCCGTCTTCCTAGGACAGCGCC